CTTTCTCTCTCTTCAAAATATCTGATTTTTAAAAAAATGATTTTTTTCTCTCCTCAAAACGAGCTGATTTTCTTATATCATAAGGCTGATCGGCCCGGCCGATCGCAAGATCGTCCGGGGACGATCAGACCAAAATCCATCGGCCTGGACGGTTCCTAGGGCGGTCCTCGGGACGATCCAGGAAACAGTCGTTTTCAGTACACTGATCGGCCTGGACGATCTTAATATCGTCCCGGCCGATCCTGGGAGGAAAATCCAATCTAGAGAGGAATAGTAAGGGAACGAGGTCTCACAATCTGTCTCCACCACAAACACCTGGTTGAAATCCGGCAGAGTAAGCACTGGCACTGTCGTCATGGCCTTCTTCAGCTTCTCAAAAGCCTCTGAAGCTGCTTCTCCCCATAAAAAGTTGTCCTTCTTCAACTGCTCTGTCAGTGGCCACGCTATGGTACTGTATCCCCTCACGAACCTCCTGTAGTAGCCTGTCAATCCCAAGAATCCCCTGAGCCCCTTCAAGGTCTTGGGTTGAGGCCATGCCAGCATTGCCTCTATCTTGGACTGATCTGCAGCAACTCCCTCCTGGGATATCACATGCCCCAGGTACTCCACCCGTGCCTGAGCGAAGTCACACTTCTTGAAGTTGGCCTTCAGCTGATGCTCCCTCAGCACACCCAACACCACTCTCAGGTGCTCTAGGTGTTCCTCCTCAGTCTTGTTATAGATTAGAATATCATCGAAAAATACCAACACAAACCTGCGGAGGTGTGGCTTGAAGATCCAGTTCATCAAGGCCTGGAATGTGGCAGGTGCGTTGGTGAGGCCAAAAGGCATCACCAGAAACTCGTAGTGCCCTCATAAGTCCTGAAGGCCGTCTTCTGCACATCTTCCTTCCTCATCCTGATCTGGTGATAGCCTGACTTCAGATCGACCTTGGTGAACAAGGCTGCTCCATGTAGCTCATCCATCAACTCATCAATCACAGGGATAGGAAACTTATCAGGCACAGTCTCCTTGTTTAGAGCTCTATAGTCTACA